AATAAAATAAGAACTAGTATAATGGAAAATGTATAAAAATGTGAAATACAGATAATAACATGTACGCCATTTAGTTTAGATGGGAGGATGTATATGTATTTCATGGATGAAGCAGCTGTTTTGTATAGGTATGTTTATATAAATTTACATGTACAGTATATGTGTATGCAGAGTGACTGTGTATGTATGTATATAATGTATGTAGACCCAAGTGTCGTCCATCTGCATTGAGTGATTTGACATCTGGAAGAAACTAGTAGAAGACTACAGGATCCCTACTGCCATGCACTGTTTCTGAAGGCTGAAGCAACCTTTCTAAGCACCCTAAACGACTTCAGGTTTTTTTGCTTGTAGCAGTAGTTACAGTTTACCAATCTCATGTAATTCATTTGAAGTTTTTCATCTGAACAGGAAACACAGGGAAGCAGTTCTGTGTTTATTTCCTCCAATATATTTGTGATGGTAATGAACTATATATTAAGAATAGGAATTCTAGAGTTATGTGGGACGTTAACTTCTTAAATCAGATTGGTAATGTAGGACTGTCTCCTAGAGCTAATTTGCTACTGCTAAGGGAACATTCAGCTTGCACAGCTTCCTTGAATGGCCAGTCCTACAGGTGAGCTATCTTCTATAATAAAGGATGGAGGAATGCTAGGCTTGGTGTTAAGCTCCTTGTGGCCAGATTCTGGTCAAATCTCTTTTACTGTTGAGCAGCAATCAGTGAAGACAACCAGGGTAACTCAGCTAATTTGATAAATGAAGGCCCTGTTCTGTTTTTTGTAAACAGAACCTTGTTGTCCACAAGCTTCGTTTGCATCGGCGATGTTGACTTATGACAGGTTGTTTCAGGAAAAATGGTAGATAGGTATAACTTTGGATCTCTGCTGTCTTTGTAAAAGTCCAAAATAAAGGACCCAGCTGGAGGAAATACAGCTTGCTTAGTTCTGGTGGTGTACAGCAACTTATTCTTTGGTGGAGTGGAGAAAAGCAGTAATATTCAGCTCTTCTGCCTTTCATTTTGTAACCATTCTCCAGTAAATTTACAAAAATACTGGCAAAAGAAAGGAATCTGCAGACATGTATGTAGATGTCTCATTTGGCTTGCATAATATGTAAAGGTGACAGATACACAAAGGCAGAAAGAAGTTTGACTGCAAAGTCTTGGATTTATAGGCTGCTTGTACATCTTTTGATACAGAGAATAAATACTAAGTATTATTCTGCCATTTGAAAGTTATTTTTAGGTTTTTGTTTGTTTGTTTTCTCGAAGTTCTGCCTTATGATCCAGATTATGAAGCCTAGTGAATTGTTCTGTCAAAGTTTATTGTAAAATATCTATGCAGACCATGTTGTGCAACTCCACCATACTAGGTTTTGAAAGTTAAACTTTGAAGGGTTTTGAAGTTCGCAGATTTTAACTTGGGGAGTCGGGGGTTGACTGAGTGTTAATCCATTTAAATAAACTGGTTAGAGCCATGAGCGTGCCTGTGGTGTTTTCAATGCTTTTCAGCCTGAAAGGGCTGCATAACCCTTTTAGGTTGCATAGCAACAGGCTCCTAGCAACCACAGTAGATTGAATTTCCAATAGTGACCAGGCCGGATGTAATAATAAAACAAGAGTACAAACAGTTGTCATGGTCTTCTTTTCATAACAAACTAGTCTGAATTTGGAAGATTCTCTTCCTCAAAGTGGCAAACCTCTTTGCAAAATGAAGGCACTTTTGAAAACTTGTGGTACTGAAACCCTGACAAAGCTAGTTAGAATGAGTGACTCTGAAGTCTAGTAGTTTGAGACACAGGAGAGAACAATGAAACACTGAATTGAGTTATCAAGGAAAAAAAGAGTATTTAATACTCTCTATAAATGGCTTGTAAATCTCGACTTCTTTTATAAGTTGATCTATACTGGAACTTCATAGAAGTCCCTAGCTACACAGGTAGACGGATATTATGGAAGGAGTATGATTGCTCACACTTGAATTGATGAAGTTTAGAAGAGACTTCCCCAAAGGAGGTTATTCTGTAACTGGCTACTATTTGCATTTGCAGCGTCTATCTTTGAAGTATGTGGTATCAACTACTACTGGAGATTGGATATTAGTTATTGTAAGGCTTTTCTAAAGTTAGTGTTTGTTATCTTCCTTTGATTCAGCTATCAGATACTGTGCAGCAGTTCTCTTTTTTTTTTTTTTTAAAGATATATATTGGTACAAAAATCTATGTACAAAGATACTGTTCTGTAAGATGCACCATAAAATAGCTTATTTTAAATCATTTGAATTCTAACATATTATTTAGAAAAGTTTGGAAATGTCTTGTGAAGATAGTGTAAAAAGGGATAGTGAATAAAACTGAGTAAGTGTCAGGCAAGTTTATTTTATGTTGTACCAATCTGTCAGGCTTTCATGTTTTCAAGAACTGTTATATGTGAAAGGTAGAAATATATTGGCAAGCACACGATTTGGGGTGAGAGACAGAAATTGTCTCACAAAATAGTAATAGATATAGTTCTGGAGGATTACATTTTAGTTTAAAGATTTTGACCTGGCTAACCAAGTTGAAAATTGAAACACTGATTGTTAAGCAATGATATAGATCTACATTAAATAAATACCCATCTTCCTGGGTCTGCTTTTGGGAATGATGGTTGAAATGTCACTGTGGTAAAGGCTAGTTACATTAACAGAAGGCCCAAGTCAGTTTGTAACTTGTTGTATTCCATTAAGGTGGCACTATATTTACTGAATAGGTGAGAACTGTTCGAAGAGTCTAAGACTTAACATGTTCAGTTACTGAAAAAAGGGGCAACTCTGGGGCTAGCTACACAGTGTAGAAGGAGAAACTCATAAAATGTAAACACCTAGATGCTGCAATCTTGACTTGGGTTGTTTCACTGGATAACACTGTTTCAGTAAATTCAGATGTTGATTGATAGTGCTTTCTTTTATCACAGGAATTTAAAAACAGTAAGTCTGAAAAAGCTTTTCTTTTAAATGGACCTCTTAGGTCTGACAGCATAGATGGTATCCTCCAGCTTAACTATTCATCTCGATGTTTTTCCTCTACACCATTTAACACTGGAATCCTCACTGCAAAAGTTATTGCGGTATGGTGAAAGAGAGATATTTTGTATATATTCAATGAAACAAGATGGGTTTATATGATTTTATTTTAAAATTATATTGTGATGTATATATAAATCCAAATCTAGAAAAAAAATCTTAAAAAGGTAGTTTGATTCATCTGAGCAATCTTTAAGCAAACTGCTCAGCTGGTGCTAATTTTCAGGTATGTGAGTTCTGTTAGTTTAAATCTGAGTTAAGTGCTAATCTGAGCAACATTCTGTATTCATGTGATGTTCCTAATTTAGAGTTATCAACTCATTTAAACTCCAGAATTTAAAAAATTAAAACCAACTGATTTAGCAGTGTGACCTAGTCTGACTATGATATCTACTCAAAAGCATTTGAGCTGAAGAGCTAGGAGAGTTTGAAAGATTTAGTAAAACTGGAAACTTATGAAGAGGTTAAAATCTGATAATGAAATTCTATATACTATATAGAAAGCAGAAATTTAAAAAACCAAGAGCATACCTTTGTGGTTTTCAGATTCCTAAATTGTATCCTTTTAAAGGTCTTTTTACTAAGAGTTGTTACGTGTATACACGCGCACATAGAGCTGTGACTTTTTCAGAGGACCCTGAAGCATTTTAACCTTACACTATAAAAATAGCATCCAGTATTTATTATGGCAAATATGTATTCTCAAATGATGTAAATTACTTTCAGAATTTCAGTAAGGATGTAATTTACTTTCCAGAATTGCAGTCACTATCTTTGTTCAGCTGCCTGTGCCCCTTTTCCCAAATAGCTGGATTTCTGTACATTGTATTGGTGCTTGTCTTTATTTTTAGACTAGATGATGTTGCTTAGAGTAGTTACTTCCTAATATTTTTCTTAGTGGACAAAAGCAAAAAACCCGAATTTGCAGGTTAATTCTTCTGTTTGCATCCAGACATAACCTCCTGGGCTGCTTAATTCATGATTTAAAAAAATACCAAAAACCAACAACAAAAAAACACCAGAAAAACAAGCAAACAAAAAACCCCACAAAACTGAAAACAAGCCCCACAAAAACAATCAAAAAAAACCCAAAAAGAACAAAACCAAAAAATCCCCCCAAACCCAAAATCAGACAAAATCCGAACCAACTAGTAAAAAAATAAACCCAAACAAACCACCCAACCCAAAACACAAACAAAAAAACTGCCAAAACAAACTGGACCAATGCTCCCCTAGACTCCTCTCACCGAACAAAACCAGTCAACCAAAAAAAAAAACCCCTTCCCTTAGATAATGTGCTGTGCCAGTATGATAGTAATGTTTCATGTTGTCAGTGAAGTTCAAATTGAAATTACATCTGAAAGGATACTTTGCATTTTTTTGAACTTTACCATTTTTATAAAAGTGAAATAACCTTCCCAGAATACCCCCCCCCCCCAAAAAAAAAAAAAATCCAACCTGAGCGGTCAGAAAAACAATTGTATGTAGTGTTGTAGCATGTGACAATGGAGAATCTTGGGGACTGAGGGAGGAACAAAAAGGAAGGTAAACAAAGAGAAAATAAAATTATTTCTGAATTTATTAGTTTATTTGTAATATGACTATGTTATGCTATATTAACACTGTAAGTTTAGGAAATCTGTTCAGATGTTTGGGAATGTAGAAAAATAGACTGGGAGGAAGTAGATTACTAAAGTTCAAAGGACAATACAAAACAAGAAATTTGGCAAAAAAAGCTGTAGTCTGTGTGTGTGTCCCTCCAGCTGAACTTCCATGAAATTTAAAATGTTGTAGCATCACATTATGTGCTTACTCCTAACTTCTTTCTTAATTACTTCTGTTGATATGCAAATTGATTTCATGTAAACATGTTTTATTTGCATACCGCTTTAGTGTAAGCACAGTGGAAGTTGAAAAAATCGTTCATCCTTTTTATTTAATGTCTGTATGTTGAAAAGCATAGCTTGAAATAATCGGACACCAATTCTGAAATAAACATCTGCTGCTTAACTTTTGTAGCGATGTCTTCCTTTCTTCAATACACTAACCATGACTAAAATAACAAATTCAAACAATAATGTTAGTTTATGTAGTGTTATTGAAGTGCTCTGTAAAGATACAAGATGTTTAAAAATAGAGTTCTTTTTAATGGGTAAAGAAAGTTTTAAGTACTGAATGTTTTCAAGCAAAAAACTGTATTTTCAGTAAATGTACTTGTTATGTGAGTGACTACAAGATATAATAAGTTTTCTGGGACCCATCTGCTATTTATATGCTGCTAAAGCATGGATGGTACTCTTCTTAAATGAATTTACCAATATGCAATGTTCACTGTGGGATCATATACTGTATTTATGGCACAATTATCTATCAAGAAGAGTGAAGAACGTCAGTGAGCTATTTTCTGCTTAATTGAATACTTAAGACTCAACTTAATGGGCCTACATCATGTAAACATAGCATTTAATTAGATATAAGTACAGAATGCTGTTTGCATTGCAGCTATATTTGTGTTTGTCAGCATCTCCTTGATAAGCCCGTGAAAATTTTGAACTTATTTGTATGTGAAAGGTAGTTGTAGGAAGCTACAATGCAGTATTTTTATGTATCAGCCCTGCTTTTATCTAGAGAGGACAAAGGTATACAAAAATGATCTTTCTTGATGACCTTCTGATGAGGCAGATGGAATTTTCAAACTGGTAGATTCTGTCTGTTACTTCAAAAATTAAAGATTATGTTTCAGGAAATGGACGAAATAAAATGAGTTTCCTAGAGACAAATACAGGAAGGCTGAAGAATTTTCAGGACACCATTGGACATCTGTGCATGTCCAACAATAGAGAACTATTATTACAGAGATAACTATTAACAAATAAAACAATAGAGAACTATTAAAAAATTATTTGTGAAATAATCTTAGTTTTACTTTTTAAACTTCAAAGAAGAAAACTCCTTTCCATTGTATGGATATATATCTTATGACTTAATGAAATGTGAACATTATGTGAGTTAATGTACTTGCTATGTGTACAGTTAAATTTTCTCTTCTCTGTGTGAAGCCAATTTATTGTTAGGTTCAAGTTGGGCAGGTTTGGAGAATTGGGTGGAGAGAAACCTATTGAGGTTTAACAAGGGCAAGTGTAGGGTGCTGCACCTGGGGAGGAAGAATGCCAAATACCAGTACAGGTTGGGGGCTGTAAAATAAATTGTGTTCAGACACACGTCAGTCCTTTTAAACAACTTCTGCTTTCTTACATTGTTTGGCTAAATTATTGCATCAAAATTTATTAACATGTCAGTTATGGTGTGTGTTTGAGTTTGTGTTTTGTGGTTGGTTTTGTTTTGTTTTGTTTTTTGGTTTTGGGTTGTTTTTTTTTGTCCCCAAATAAGTTCCAGTATTATTTCAGCTTTTTTTGTTAGTGCTATTTTTCACGGATGAAATAAAACTATTGTGGTGTTGAAAAAAGAACTTTTACCAGGTAATGTTGCCCTGAATGTTTATGTTAGTCTCCCAGGTTGTATGGTTAGTCAGTCACTTCTGGTTACATACTACAGTTCTTTCTTGCACTTGTCCTGCAATTTCATTCTGTATTTCTTCTTCAGTATGTGAGACAAATGTGTAATGGGTAGAGTTGTTTAGTTTTGAGTTGAATAAGTAAAATATCATTTAAACTGTAGCTGTATGACTAAAACAGTTGTGATGTCACAATCCTGCATACCCTGCAGTGAGTCTGATCACAAGGAAACAGCAGATCATTGTAAGAAATAAGTTACTTAAACACTCTCTTCAGGGACTACTTGAAATGTATGGAAGGGAGAAGAGAGAATTAAGTGGCTAGACGGTAATTGAATGTAAGGTCTGTTGGTGAAATTTGGTGCAGGTCTTGTGGAAAAGGACATGGAAAAGGCCAAGTTAACCAATGCATTCTTTACCTTGGTTTTGTTTTGTTTGTTTTTGTTTTTTGTTTGTTTGGTTGGTTGGTTGGTTTTTGTTTTTTTGTTGTAAGACCTACATTCATAGTTACAGATAACAGGAGACCAGTAGGAAAGCCTGGGTCAAGTATGGCTTGTCATCTGTGGAAGAGGGTCATAACTGGTTAGACTTTGAACACATCATGGAGAATTGGGTAATCATGTTTTGACAAGTAGATGCTGTAGATGAAAGTGGGGAAGGATCAAGACGTTCAGTATGAGAGGACAGAAGGAAAAGTTTGAGAAATATTGCAGCATAGATGGATTCTTACAAAATATATTAATTCTTTGGTTTTGACATGTATGTAGGGAAATATAAATTAGGTTTCTCGAAAGTCTTAAATGTAGCAACTTCTGTAGTTCAAGCAAAGTGAGAACAGAAAGTATGCTTGTCTTTTCCTTCCTTTCCTTCCTTTGCCCTCTCTTTCTCCCCTTTCGTGCTTTTTTCCCTTTCTTACATTTTGCTGGATGAGAAATTGTAATAGTAGATTGTAAAGGAAGAGAGTTTTAACAGCTCATGCCTTTGGTAACTGTCCTTAAAATTTTGTAAAGGAAATATTCTCCATAAGTTTCATTGTTTCACAAGACTTTAAGTTTCTCTTTAAAGTTTGAATTGAAATATAAATTGTAATATTCTTTATGTTTGTGAGGTACCCAACCCTTCTAGTCTAAAAACTGAGCAGTACCACATATAGTTTACATTTGCAACCACAACTCTGCTTGTGGTTTTTAGATTAAATTTTTTTATACAGAGAAATTCTTTACAACTTTCAAAATTTTAGATGTGATAATGAAAAGAATGAATATTCTCATTTTATATGACATATGCATCTTATAAATGATACAGGGAATTTATTGTGAAAAAGAAATCCTTATTTTTATGACTGATGTGTCTTCGTTCACTCTTGTGTAGCTACTTACTGACTCTGTTTTCCAGAAAGGGGGGGGAAAAATGGAGTTTAAACTTGAAAAATACTTTAGCTTGTCCAAGGCTTGTGTTGACCTAAATAGGTCTAGGTCTTCATTGTTGACAGCTGCAGATAATTAGCTTTTTCTTCCTTAACAAAGAAAGCAAATGGAGCTGCAAGATATTCATTGCCTTTTCTGTCATCATCACAATAATTTATGTATTTAACTTCTGGAGTTTCTTACATTCTTTTAGTGCTAAGCTACTTTACGTTACATGTAATGGGAGTGACAAGTAAAAAACTGCAAAGCATATTTGTGCTGCAAGAGAACGAATGATTGACAGCTACATTCCTCCCTATAAGGAGCAGCTGTGTTGCAGATCTTAAAAGATGTTCTAAATGTATAATCCTTAGCAATTCAGAATTCAGAAGTTAGTTTTGAAAAGTGATTACCACTTCAGTTGCTTTTCATAGAATCATAGAATGGTTTGGGTTGGAGGGGACCTTAAAGATCATCTAGTTCCAGCCCTAGTTCTAGTTCAGTGTGGAAACAGTGGTTAAAGGATAACTTTGAAAATTATTTCTTTTAAGAAATTTGTAAGCACTGCCAGTAATAGAAGTTATAAGAATAAAGAATATGTATTTTATACTCTGAAATAACATTTTTACCCCATTTGAAGGAAACCAAATAGCAAAGTCAAAACTAATCCAAATATATACTCTGGAAAGCACAGGAACATAAACTGATGTATTAAAAACATCCCATTTTGAACTGAAATAATTTAGGACTCATGGTTTTATTTTGCAAGAAATGGTCTTTACGTTAATGTATGTTTGTGAATTACGCGCATAGCTCTAGCATGTTTTACATCTATTTGAAGACTAAAGAAGATCCAAAATAAGGGTGTTAGTCTAGGAACTTGTAGCCTGTTCCCTATGATGCTAATTTTGTGTTGCCTAGAACAAAATGTTTAGGTCTAGGTACCCAAAGGTATTTAGGTATCTAATTGCTTTTAGCTAACTAATCGTTAGTCACATTATTCGTATGGTTATTTTTTTTTGTGATCTCCCCCCCCCCAAAAAAAAAATTGTGGTTTTGGTTGGTTGGTTGGGTTTTTTTTGTTTAATTTTGTCAATACACTTGACATAATTTCATTTTGTGATTTAGCAGCTCACATGTTGCTGAATTTAGAAGGAAATGGCTAGGATTTGAGAGATGTGTCTTGAATCACCACCTTTTCTTTCTTCAGTACTTATTTAATGGTGGGTTTTTTTTGTTTTGCTTTGTTTTATTTTTTTTTTTAATGAGTTTGAAGAGCTTCCATTTGAGGAAAATAATATGTTGGCAAAAAGTAGACAACATCTTAATCAATAGAGAAGAAATGAGTCTAAACTGAGGACTGAAATTGTTTAGCATATATCAGTCTTTGGAACTTGAGTATCAGTTATCCATTTATTTCACAAACATTTATCCTTATGATTGTTGGTCAATGCAAGAATGTAAATTTTAAAAGTAATTCAAAAGTAGATAGATTGTATTATGGCTCATAGGCTCTGTCAGCCAGTTCACACAGTTTTGTATCACCTGCAAGCTTGCCAAGGTGCACTCTGTTCCATGATCTATAATATGAAGATATTAAATGGTACTGTACCCAGTATCAGTCCTCATGGGTACTCAACTAATTACTGGCCTCTAGCTGGACTTTGTGGCATTGATGGCAACCCTCTTGTATGGTTAAAATTCATTTAGAATTATTCTTCTGAATTATGTGTACCACCAAATACATCTTTCAGAATTTTGTAGACTTGAAGACACAGTTTCTAGTCATAAGAAGTCATTAGTGGTGAATAATTCTCTCTTGGGCATTACTGTTGCTCTTCTCTTATACAAAATGCCTGTACCCACAGGAGATGCTTAAAGGTGTGTTTACCTTCTGGTTCAGTGACTGGTTCATAAGGATTGCATGACAGGCATCTCTATAAATGTGTTAACGTTTATAATAATGTGTTATGATGATTCTGTTAGCGAAATCCTCTTAGCCTTCAGTGACATAAAACAGTATACTGCAGACCATTAGGGATAGTAGCGTGAGATGCTTCAAACAGATAAAGGACTATTTAGTAAGGAAACATGGCAGTTATGATATCTCTGAGTATCTGAACCTTACTTGTAATTTGTAACAAAAGTTTCTGAGCTACAGCTCAAGAATTAGTCTCCTGTCATCATTAACTTTTCCAGCAGTATTTGTCTCTCTTTTATGCTACAGATTTATTTATTCGTGCAGTTCTTAACCAGTTATGCTTTTGATCCAGAGATTTTCTTTTAACTAAGCAACACAATTGTTGAAACAATCTTTTCAATCTTAATTGCTCTTTATGCAAATCTCATATTTTAACACACTTTTTTTTTTTTTCCCCCCGCCATTCATCCCCCCCCCCATCCCGCCCACACCCCCCTTGCTTTTTCTGCAATGATGGCTATGTTGCTGTGTTTCTGATAGCATGGTGGTACCAAGTTTCAGGTGTTTCACAAAAGTAACTGTTTCCTTTTTTTTTGGCAGGACAGGAAGGGGGAGTCCTAAATCTTCGGGTTTTTTGACAAGCAAGATTTTAAGTACCCAGATCCATTTCCTAATCAGATTAGACACAGTCCTTTAATTAACTTTCACTTTCCTTGCTTATGCTTTCATCAGTAGTAGTATTTTTCCTTTTTTTTTTTATTGTTTTATTCAATTATTAGCTATTTTTTCATGTACTTTAAAATCGTGGGTGGAATTACATAAATTCTTTCTCAACCTCATTCCCATTTCTTATTTTGGAAGCTTTCACTACATCATGTTGGAGTGAATTGCAAATTCAGATGGGATCTAAGCTTTGAGAAGAGTCCAGCCTGGATAAATTAATGGTAGTGACCGAACATCCTAGAAACATGATGTTAGAATCAACTCTTAAGTTGCTGTATTTTATTGTGCTTTTGTTCTTCCTGTACAAGCTGGAAGAATCTGAGTAAAGTTCACTTTGTGTTCTTTAGTACATGAGACACACTGTAGAAGATACATTGCTCCTTGCCAGTTTCAGAATCTGTGTTTGTTGATTTACCTTCTCTTTCTGCTGTCTCAGTCTGTTTTCTGTCTGTAATACAAGTGTAATGCTTCAAGTAATGTACTGCTTGACATAAGCTAATACACAATAACAATTTGATTATCATAAAGATGCATCAATTTTCATAGAAAAGTTAGACAACTCTCAAAAATTGAAATGGTAAAATGTTGTATGTTGTGACTGATGTCATAACCTGTGAATGTATTTTTATCTGGCATTTGTTGCAGAGAACAGTAACAGTAACCATTTAATTTATGATGGCTTGCTAAAGGAAGTGTACCTCTATTTTCTGGAGGTCAGTTTCTACTTTTGCATCTTGTATAGTAAACTCACTAAACCAGAAAACAGTAAAAGCCATCTGAGTGCTTTTTAAACTGTGTGATTTATCTGCATGCAGCAACATAATGCAAAGGAAAGAACATGTGTTTAAAAGAAAAAAATTGTCATTTAAGTGCAATTAGTTTCAGTATCTAGAGTCCATAGGAAGCTCTTTTAGCAGACAGACCAAAATTGTTGCCAAGGATTAATATGCCCTCTATTAGCTTACTGTTTTATCCCACCCGTCCTTGTTGCCCCTGTGAGCCATCATATTGTCATTGCTGCTGTGCACTGTATGTGCACAGAGAACACAGGGACCAGATGGATCAGCCACCCCCAGTGATTTGCCTAAAGCAGGGTGGAGCTGGAGGTCACCTCCCACTACAGAGCTGGGGGCACCATTTTGCTTTGGCTGTCGTCTCATGGTGGGAAGACATCATGTTTGGCCACTGTGTAACCCACATGCTTACATACTGCCCTGCACCTGGCCACCAGCGCTGACAGCATCAAAGGCATGTGACCTGAACATACTTTCCAGCTGGCTGCTTACTTCCTTTGGACCAGAAAATTCCTAGATACAAATATATATGCATTTATATGTATGTGTATGCATAGTAAATCTAGATATAAAATCCTTTATGAAGAAGTAAAACTATGTATTTTACTTATACTTTGATCAACCTTATATGTAGCTTTACAGAAGTATTATATACAATATAGATCTATATACTTTATATAGTGTAAAGGTACATAAATTAAATATGTATCTCTCTACCTAAAAGTGTATGTGTGAAATGTATAAAAAGTATTTTTTAGAGCTAATGAAATTAAAGTTTAAATGTGAATATAAAGTAATTAAATAACAACATACCTGAACTAGTGGAAGGTGTCCCTGCCTATGAAGGGGGTTTGGAGCTAGATGATTTTTAAGGTCCTTTCCAACTCTAACCATTCTATGATTCTCTGGTGAAGTCGGTTGGTGCCCTCTACTTCACAAGTCTAATGAACAAATCCTGACATGTTTGGGTGGAGGGAGGTATAAGAGGACAAGGAGGGGGTATGAGGAGGGCAGGGTGAGGAGAGGGGTACAGTCAAGTGGGACTACTTGCCTGTCTTCAGAGATTGCCCACCAAGGGGCTCCTGTGTGTCCCCTGCAAAGTACAAAGAGGAGCCCAGTCCTGGAGCTCCACAGTTGGCACCAGACAATCTGTTTATTGCCGGTGCAGCTTTGAGGCTTTCCACTGTGTTGCAAGACACAGGCATTGCTCTCTGCAAAAGTGGAAATCCAGAACAAATTTCCAACTTGAGAAGAAATGGGTGTGTAGACAATGAGGACAAACCCCAGCAGGACTCCTGAAAAAAAGACCACATGAAGCAGAACAGCCATCTGATAGGCCTGTGAATCAGGAACAATCACCAAGTAAGTTTCACAGAAAAAGGAGAAGTGCTGGTGGGAGTTGCTTTAGCCCACTGCTTTGGGGGAACATTGCGGTACCTTTTATATCACTGTGAGGTACAGGCTTGAGCTATATCTGTTTCCTTATCCTTAGGTTAATGTCCTTATAGGACATTTAAAAAGCTCTAGCCAACTAGCTGAGGAGGTAGAAGACAGGAGTGTTCCCATACAGGCCTGCAGCAGTTAAAGAATGATCAGAGAGAGGACAGTGGCTTTTGTGGAGGAGTGGGGTAAAAAAACCCAAACAACAAAATCCTTGGAAAAGCCTCACTAATGACTGACACCCATCATAACCATTAATAAAGTATCTTTTTGCATTAACTGAGTCATGGTGAAGTGTTAATTTCTTATGTGTGTGTAATGATGGTGTGTCAATAGAGATGTCCATATCACTTCCCTTTAAGTGCATTTGCTACACTCCTGGGGAAGTGGGAAGCTTCGGAGATAGAAATACCATTTTAGAAGCTACTGAAAGCCCAGCTGTTGATACGAACTGGAGCTAAGTGGCAATTTAGTTTGCAAACCAGGATACCTGGACCTTATGCAAGCCACCAAGAAAGCACTTTATGAGACAAGGTGGTTGTGGCAGAGGTGGATGCTCTGTATTAGCAGACTTGGTGTATGTGCAGTAGTTTTCCAAACATGACACTACTGTTAAGTACAGCTTAAGTACAGTGCTAGACATACTACACAAGAATGTCTCTGCCATGGCAGAATGAGTTCTGATATACCGGACGCTTGTAAAGTGATTTTTAGTGGGCAGTACACATGTCAGAAATTACAGACTGATGGTAAAAAGATTTATTTTTTTTTTTTTTTAAAGCCAGCCTTATACTGCTTTAAGAGCTTGTTCAGTGGTCACCATCTTGTTACTATCAACAAAGCCAAAGTTTACTTTTTGCAGAGTGTACTAAGTGTTGCTTGAAACTAAAATGTGGAAATATTTTAGTGTGCAATATGTTTTGCTGATTGACATGTTACCAGGTTCTATAAAGGACTATATAACCATAGCTTCCACAGAGCTATCAGAGCCAGGCCTGTGAATGTGTGGTCCCTTTCAACTCTGTGAAGGTTTGGAAAATCAAATCCCAGAATTTATTTTAAAATCAAAGAATATGTGCCTTTGCTGAAAAAGTGAGACTATATCACAGTGGTTGTAACAAGAGATATTTAAGAAAGGTTGTCATCAGATATTTTTGAGTGAAGTCTTCTCAATAGCAGAAACTGTGGGAAGGGAGTAGGTAGCCACTCATGCAGTTTCATGTGCCATGGTCATAAAGCAATGGAGGGGACCTTTGGCCCTGAAGAACTTCAGGGGAGGACAGGAAGGACAAGAATCTACAAAACTGACAAAATCATTGCTGCAAAAGTTGAAAATAAGAAAGAAGCAGCAGCCCATATCCAGGACATGTAGTGGTTAGAGTTGGGAGTGGGGGTAAAATAAGGGTGGCAGGTGGCAGTTTCTACCTTATGCTAGCCAGCAAAAATCAGAATTTTCTCACAGAAGTAACTTCACCATAGATTTGGTGGGGCTCCTGGATCTGTTCTGCAAGTAGGATGGGAAGTTGGCAAAAATGCAATACCTGCACAAAAGGAGTAACCTCAGTGAAGACAGCATCTTTGAAATAGCAAGGCAAGACATGGCTGGATAATGCATGGCAGCATCTTTGCAGAAATCCTGTTATTGCCATCCCTCGGGTGTTGATGTAATGTACTAACCTTTCTACTAACCTCCACAGTAGAGCTTCAGCTATCAGCTCCTCAGCTGTTGCCGTTGCCTATATCATGTCATAAAGAAAACAGCGTAGAATGGATGAAAATCCTTCTCTTTATCTCTTATAATGCTATTCATAAATGCATGGTGTAAATAAAGCTTAGAACCCAACTTAAAGTTTATGTGTGTGGTCTTCAACTATTCCTTCAATTGTTTTAAAAATGGGCAATATAGACATCAAAGTTGAAAGTTTTTGTGATAAGTATTACCCTAAATACTACAGGGTAAGGCATCAAGCTTTTTAGGTAGCTTTCTTTTGAAACATGGTGTGTATGGTGCTTCTCGGTTCTCATTCACCTTAGTTGTTCCAAGAGATCCTGTTTTGCTGTGTTACCTGTTACATTCACCACAACCAGGGTATTGGTAAAACGTTCCAACATTGTTGTTTTCAAGCTTAAAGGAGCTTTGGGCAAACCACTGGGAGCAGCTGCTCCAGACACTCCCAGGGTGCTCTGCGTTGATGCAGGGGATAGCAATGGCAAAATGGTGGTCAAAAAGGAGAGGATGGAGGGAGAAAAGCTAGTGACATTCACAGAAGGTGAGGGAGTTTGGGGCCAAGTGGTGCTGGTGACAGGTGGAGGGGACAGATCTCCTTTTGGGTGCTGAGGTGCAGTGTCTGTTCCAGGATGAGCACCGTCCTCGTACTGCTTGTATATGTCTCTCCAACCTTCCTGCATCCTTTTCCTTTCCTGAGCTTTCAGGACACTCCCTGATGCTGGCCATCATGCTTTTCTTTGGGTACAATCCTGGAGCTGTGCTTTGGCACATCCCTGACTGCCTCAAGGGGATTTTGTTGTCTTGCCTTTCCTGATCACATGGCTGGTGTTTGCAGGAGACAAGCTAAAGGTATGGGATGTTTATTGATTTAGAGGTAGTGCACTGCACGCTGCCTGAGCCAAATGGCTTTCACGGGTCATTACAATAACTAATTTCACTGATAAAATGGGTGCATTTGTAAACCTGGTTTAATTTACCTATCTGCTTTGTTATAAACTTCCCATTCAGAATGGACACATAAAAGCAGTAGACTCTATGGAGTTTGCAGAGTGTACTGGATCTTGGCAGGTTGCTGTGTTACAAGCATCAGGAGTGTTGCATGTGTTGATTCTGCTCTTTATGACTTATTCTAAAAGGTGTAGAGTTACACTGTGCAAGGTGATTTTTTTGTGGTCTCTCTCATAGCAAAGTAAGTGACAGCTTTTATTTCTACAGTAGTTTACATAGCGCAAATCCAACTTTTACCTTTGGAAGCTTTAGCAGGGGAGATAACATTGCATGTTCTCTAAAATTAATGTGTTCACATACTGAGGGTACTACAAACTGAGGTTTAAAAACGAACTCTGAAAGCTGTTGTATCTTTATTCAATGTCTGTGAAGCGAGTTTCCATCTCTCGCACATTGAGGGTGAGCATATCTATCATCAGCATCGGCCAGGTGCTGGTTGGGCAGAAGTGCAGGAGTGGAGGTCCCTGGAGCTCAGTTCTTTGTTGGAGGCTCCCTTTTAGTGGTGGCAGGTATTTGTTGCTGAGCCTTGGGCGCAGGTGGTGGCGCTGCTATGAGGACCTGCTGTACACCCTCTGCGTAGTCACCCACCACATCCAGCAGGTGTGCGAGCTGGCCATGGACTCCTAGTCCTCGTCATCTGACCTTGCCGTGTGCAGGATGGTCTTGATTGGCCACCTGCAGAGTGGACACGTAGCTGCCATGTCAGCCCACTGCTTGATGCAGTGGAAGCAGAAGGCATGAAAGCAGGGGTCGATGTAGGCTGTGTCATCAATGGGGTTCAGGCAGATGGGGCACAGGCCATTTGCTGCAGTCTCCTGCTGTGGCAGCTTTGTATCGGCCATTGTAGCAGAGTCACTGTCCTTCTCAGCACCCGATGCCGTGTCCTGCCAAGAGACATGCAAAGTGCCTGGACTTTTCATGCACCAGGAGTGGAACAGCAAAGCAAGCCCTGGAAAGTGGTGAGAGAGGGGAGGCAGTGCCCCCTGAAGGGTCTCCTAGCAGGCTGGAAAGTGGCCAGCCAGCCCCATGGGCTGCCTTCTACATGTGCCTGCCTCTCCCACCATCTCCCAGGCATGCTGTGCCCCATTTCAGGACCTCCACCCCTTGCACTCTCCCCCGGACAGCCAGCATGACTCATGCTAATAATGTACCTGCGGAAGGCAGAACATGGAGGAACTGGCTGGGAGCCTTCAGTGGCATCAAGAGCCCCTGCGCCCTCAAGCCAACAGACCTGGGTCAGCAGCTGTACAGGATTTGCAGCACCCACGCTAGCCAAGTCTGTGCAGGAACACAGCAGAGGAAGTCCACACACAGGAGGTTGTGTGCTCTGTGTTTGCATGCTCAGGAGACCTGGACCAAATGCATTGCGACAGAGCCTGCACCTGCTGCAGAGCAGTAACATTGGGGTCATTACAGGAGTCTCTGGGCTGCACCCCAGCCACCACCTAGTGAGGACAGCAAGCACCCCAGGTGGGCAAAGCCCCTGCTTAATGGGTTGTTTGCCATGTTTTGATGATTTCTGGGGAAGGGATTGTTGTGCCTGAGCACAAAGACTCAGCAATGGGCAGCGCAGCAATGCAGGTGAGGAATCCTTAATGCCAATAGAGCATCCTGACTTGGCTCCTCCAAGAGCTGCCAGAGACGGGCTCACCCCTTGTCTGTAGCGGGAAACCTGCAGAGATGGCTTTTGAGCATCAAGTATGGCAATGCCCTAAGCGGTGTTACTGCTTTTTCATTCCACTGGGTGTCACTAGAGTTTAACACTTGTCTGTGGGCCAAGCTCAGTCTGGTCCAACGGTAACCTCACGGGTGTTGGTCATTCTGGTTTGCTTTTTTTTTTTTTCAGAGGGATATTGCCGACTGCTTTCCAGTTATCTTTTTCCTTCAAATAGATGCAGACAATGCCAAGCAAGCAAATATGACAAAATACTGTACTTCCAAATCTAATTCAAATAGTCATTTTAGGTGCCTGGGTGTAAGGCAAACAAGATTATTCTGGTTTTCTTAATACAGCTTTCAAAGCCAGCAGCGTTATGTCTGAGACCAAGACTAAAAGGATATATTTCACAAATAGGTCTTCATACAGAAGGGGAAAGCTCCAGTGAAAGGTTTATCTGGTCTTTCCTTCTTTAGCAGGAGGAATCACTAACTCACTTGCTGAACAAAATGACATACATCCTTGTCTTGCAAAATAACATTGCAGGTTGAGGAAGAAAGTAAAAGGAGAAACTGGTGAGATTTTATCAAGTCTATTCATTGATTACATAAGCAGATTACATGTAATTATTCTTTCATTAATCCTTCAGATATCCCAGTTGTAAGCCTATTTACGTGTCTGTCAGTTAAGTAGGGACAAGATTTGCTTTAGCTTGCTTGTTTGATTTAAACTAATGTTTTTATTTACTAGTGTCATTGCATTCTTGTTGAAATCTGCTTTCTTGGTATTTCCATAGATAAAAGATAACTGTAACTTCAGTAACTGAATAGGTTAACCCTGATACATTTAGAACATACTTCTCCAAATAACTTCCAGTGTGTCAGCAGTG